TACCAGGGATTTGCTTTGTCCTGCTGGGACCTTTCTGGGAAGTCCTGGGTGTGGGCTGGCCCTTTGCAGACTGTTCCTACTGAGAACTACATCTGCCTTCTTCCTCACAAAGACTCTTGAGAGAGTTCCATTTCCTGTTCTTTTAACAAGGAGAAAACTGTCCTTTCAGTTCTAAGGAAAATGAAATCTGATTTGGTGGTAGCAGTAGGGATATTGGTGGAGGAGCAACTGAAAGTTCTCTGAATTTTCAAAAAACAAACAAATAAAGGGCTGGGGATTTAGCTCAGTGATTCTGCCGCCTGGCTTGAAAGTGCAAGGTCCTGAGTTCGATCCCCAGTACCAAAAAAAAAACCAAAAAACCCAAACAAATAAATTTGGAAGGCGATGTAGGGAAAGAAAAGGGAGGTTGGGATCTACGAGCGAGACCCCAGGCAGATCGGAGTTCACCGCTCAGTGAACCCGCTCAGCCAGCCATGCAGCCCTCGTCCCAGTCCTGCGACCTATTGTCCGCTGTTGGAGCCCTGGGTCGTGACCCAGCCGAACGCAACACCGAGCCCAGCGCATGCAAGACATGGAACCCGAGAAGAGCAGGGCTGCTGCCTCTCCAACCTCGCCTTTGCCCGGGCCGCCCAATTTTGTGATTCTGGAGACCTCTGTACTCCAAGAAAAGGAGCAGACAGCCCCACTGCCAAACGCAAACACACCAGGCAGATGAAAACTGTGGTATTTGCCCCATTCTTTTGTGGCCCGGCTTTCCAGGAAGCCAAAGGCTGGAAGCCAGAACCTAGGGTTTGGCTTGGCCCTTTGGCAGTGCCTCCTACACACTCCATTTCAAGGTTTCTTCCCCCTGCAAATTCAAATACATTTTCCTCTCCTAATCTCTGATGCCAGAAATAGAGGGAATAAAAAATGAGGGATGAGTAGAGATGACAGTTCCTTTGGCTTGACCCATATCCCTCAGGCAGGCATATTAGAGGACCCGGCAATGGTTGATGAAAACTGGAAGTGTAGAACAATCCCTTCCTCTTTATTAGGCTCTTTAACCCTGTGCACCCGCAAATACACTCTGAAACCTTCCCTACCCAGCCTTGTCTTCCCTTTCTCCTGATTCATTCCTGGGCCTGGCAAGAAAGGGAAGCAGGAAGGTAGAGGCCTTTTGCCCTGTTCGCCAGATCAGCTGGCCCTGTGTTGTAAGAAGCCACAGAGCTGACACCAGAGAGAAGGAAAAAACCCTCAAGAAGTGGAGGGAGAGCCAGGTCTGAGAAGGGGCTCCTAGTCCTGGTGGGCAGATGAGCAAACCTCCTCATCAGCTTGAGTCTTCATTTTCTCTCAGTGCCCCCAAGTTCAAAAGGGGATGGAGCTCCCTGCACTGAAGGTTTTAAGGTGTCTGAGGGAGCCCTGCAGGTAAACAAACATCCCACCATTTTTAATTCTCAAAAGAGGCAGCTAAAACTCTAAAACTTGTATACCAGAGCAGCCACACACAACAGGAGAAAAATGAAAATGGGGCTAGTGATATGGGGAGCAGAAAAGCAGGCTGAGAGGGGTGGTCAGTTCTATTAGAAAGATTGGTCAAAGGCAGACTTTTCCCCCCACCAAATTCCCCCAAATGTTTAATTTGGGCTTTTGCCCATCCAGATAAATCTAGCTAACAGATTAAGAAGTTCATAAAATTGTATTCTTAGGTAATGACATGCAGAGAGGTAATAAATATTCCCTCTGCTCTGGTAGCCACTGGAGTTGGGGAATCTTCCATCACTTTTTCCAGACCTAGGAGAGGTCTCTTGGAAGGCCAGTATTTGAATTAGAATTAGTTTTCTAAAGGTGAGATTCCTATAAAAGCTGTGGAAACCCAGAGAAGTGGGTTTGTGAGTAGCGCAATACTAAACTCCTTCAGGGCCTAGCAAAAAGCCCAGCAAAAGATGGAACTGCCTCAGCACATTCCTCCTTGCGGGGCACCTTCAATCTCAAGGGCCTCTTTCAGAGACAGCCTCCCCAAATCCTACCTAGGGCAGGACTAGGAGAAACCTGTGCCTAGCAGAGAGCACTCAAGATTTGGAAAACCCCTTACTACACACTCTCTCCCCAAACAAACACACACACACACACACACACACACACACACACCTTCTAACACAGAAAACACAGAAGACATCTCTGGATTTCAATCTGTCAAGTAAATTCACATAGGAAGAAAGTGGTTGCATGACTGCAGAGAAAACTTTGTAGGAAACTTTGTACAAACAGCAGCAAGACATCCTCAGAGATACAAAGTGCCCCAGTTTTTCCCCCTAGTCTCATTTTTCTCAGGGCTCTGTTTTTCTCCTTTTTCAGCCAAATTTCTTCACTCCCCAGGTACCCAGCAGAGAAACTCCGTTTTCCCCAAGCAGATTCTTTCCATCCACAATCGGACCTCCTGACTTCCCTCCCTAACACCAGGAGTTGAGACAAAAATCTAGTGGCAAACAGACAGTTTCAACTTTTGTGCTCCTCACCCCAGAGCAAACGAGTGCTAACTACTTACATGCCAAGGGGATTTGGGACCTGTGGGGATCTCCTGATGCTTGGAGAGAAGGAATTGGAAGATTGGTGTCTCCGGTTCACCCCTTCTTCTTTTTAACTTAGCCACTGAACAGAGAGATGCAAAGCTGCACTAGAAGGCATTCATGAGCCTTGCCTCTCCCAGGACTCTGGGCAAGAAATCCCCAGTCCTACAAAAGCAGTGGCATCCTATCTGAAGATGGGGCTGAGCAAGGCTGGCTTGGGAGGGTCCGAGGTGGGGGTGGGGGAGAGGTCAGAGGCGCTGGTGAATATAAAGGCGATGGGAGAGAAAATGCTGTGTCCTCCCCGTGAACCTGGGCCGTGTCCTCCCCCAGAGCCTTTCCCTACCGCTCAACCCAACTTCAATAAAAGCCTTCCCAGTGAGGCTGTAGCAGCATCAGGTGGAGCCATGGGGACCAACACTGCTGGAGCTTGGCTGCCCCCCCCCCTTCCTGGGAGCCAGAGCCCATTCTGGGTGGTCAGGTACAAGGCAAAGGAGAGCTTTGGGAGAAGTGGAGAAAATTGAATCCACTAGAGGGAAGGCTAGAGGCCAAAATCTTCAAAAATTCAACTTAGAGAATTTTAATTTTGTGTCATAGGCAAAAAATTATGGATTTTTAATGCTTCTCCTTTTCAGATCAAGACAGAAAGAGACACCAGAGAAGAGACTATGTGTGTGTGACGAGAGAAAGAAAACAGAAGGTGGTAAAGAAGGGGAAATAAGTGCCCCAATCTTTTAAAAGCTGCTTTTCCTGAGTTAAATAGAACCTTTAGTAAGTTCAGGAAGAAAATAAATATATGTAGTGATTTCCCCCCTCCTAGTTCTGATCTCTCCAAATGAGCAAGCTTAGGAAAGAACTGTGGATTTGAAGTCAATCATCCCCCAACTTCCTTTCCACCTCAGCTTCTTTACAGGCTTACAAAGACATCCTGGTCCAGCTCTCAGACGTTCCTTCTCTTTTCCCAAGGAAAGTTAGACCCCCCCCCCTTTTCCTGTCCAAAGGCAATTGCCTCAAGATGATAGGGGCTGCAGTCAGATCAGGCTCTAATTCACTTGATTACATGAAATAACTCCAGATAATTGTTGGCCCTGCTTCCTCACACTGTAGGCAGCATGTTTTGCTGTCTCTAGGGCATCATAGAGGGAGGAGAAAGTAGACCTAAAGGACTAAGTGATTCTCCCAAACACACAAACACATTTGCATACACACACACACACACACACACACACACCCCCTATTCCAAGTAACATTCAGCAAGTAGTTTAAGAAGAAATAAATTTAAAACACATCAAACAGATCTTCACAACTTGGTCCCACTATTGCCTTTCACTCCAGAATTTGGGATAGAGGAAAGGGGTATCCTTAAGCACCTTAGGTTGCTTCTCCCTCTCTCTTCTACTTCTCATTACCCTCCGTTCTAAAATTTGAATAAATTGCCTGGGAAGAGTTTCACCAACTGCCCTCCGCCAACCATCTTCCAATAAACAAGCAAAAAATTGAGCAAGCCTAGCTTAGGGCTTGATCTCCAGGACCAGACTTATTTTGGAGCCTTTGGCTTGAATTAATTCTTCAAGTAATCCAAGTTAGTTTTTTCCCCCCTTCTTCTTCTTAGCCATAAGGAAATATACATACATATACACATACATATAAACATACATACATATATATATATTTATTTATTTATCAGTCAGAGAGCCTTGTTCAGGTCATCCCCACACCCTGCCAGGACCTGGGAGGCTGTGGGAAGAGGGTTGGTCCTTGCCTCTTTCTGATTCTTTTCTCAACACCTGACTGGCCCATGAGAAAAGTTAGGAGAAAGCATAAAAGCCCATCATTATCTCCAGGCATCAGCCTTTGAGGCCTACCCATGCAGGGGGTGCTCTCAGGCCTCTGGCCTCTACTTCACCCTTTTCCCCAAGTCTAAACAAACAGAGAAGCCAATCCTGACAGGTCACTTTGCTGCTTCAGGATCATCAGCTCAAAACCTGTATCTTCTAAGGAGACTAGATTTCCAGGGACTATCATCCTCAATAGCTCATCCCAAAAGAGCCCTAAAAGAAGAAAACTTTTCTCTTTCCCACTCCCTAGACTTGCCTTCTAGTCTGCAGATTAAGCAGACCTACTTGACAGAAAGAGGAGAAAAAAGAGGAGAGAGGAACAAACAAAAAGAAGGGGCTGTGTCTAACTGTAGAAAAGTGGCTCCCCCACTTCACTGTAAGAATCCCCAGGTCTGGCTTCTCTGCAGACTCAAAAAGAAAAGAACAGGATAAATCACCCACCATCTTCCATATCCCTTATCCCAACCCCCTTGTAGGTTCTTCTAAGGCCATTGGAAAATTGGGAGTTGAGAGTTAAGCTTTGTGTGTTTGCTTAGAGTAAACTTAGGCAATTATAGAGAAGGTAGGATGTTACCAGGCCAGGAGGAAGGGGATGAAAAGAAACCATCAGACATTGAGGTAAAACTAATTCACATCCACTGGTTTATTATTGATCACGGGGCATTTCACACCGACACTAAAATTCTTTATTGCAAGTTTTACAATAATCAAGTAAATTCAGTCCAAAAACACAATAACCATGATGGGGGGTGAGGGGAGATTCTACCTATAGACTGCCTCTCTGAACTGAAAGTTCATTTTGATTTTCTTTTGGCTCCTCAAACTGAACAGCTCTGAGAGGCTCTCCAGATGCATTTAGCTTTGTCTGCTGTGCTCCCCCCTCCTCCCACCCCCCCACAATAATACAAAAGAACTTCATAGCTTTGTTCTCCTTAAAATGACTTCCCCCTCACTAACCTCCCCTGGTGCATTTTCAATGCAAAAGGCCTATGGAAAGAGGGGGTAAGGAGGAGAAGAATGATGAGAATTAGCTTAAAAATCTCCCTTTCCTTTTCTCTTTCCTCATCTCCCCTGAAATTTGCCCAAACCAGACCATTGCACCTTGCAATATATAATTTTTCCAGCTTTTTTCTTAAAAAATAAATTACCCCCCCAAATGGCCTTTAAAAAAAACCCAGCAGGTACCATGCTAAGACAACATCACATGCTTAAAAGGGTCCTTAATAGTGGAAGGGAGAGAAGGGGAGGGGGCTTGTTTATCTGTTTTGTCTGTTTGGAATTGACAAGGGAGGAAGCGGGAGGAAGAGAGAAAAGAACCAAAAAATATATATATATTAATTCTATAAATAAGAGTCAATTTGTGTGTGAGGGGGGGATAGGGCATGGGGTGGGGGCAGAGGTGTGAGTTATGTTTTATAACCTGGTGATGTCCTCTGCCCGTTGCTGCTCCGGCGGTGTGGCGCTCTGGGAGTGGTCTTCAGAAGTGCCCGGGGTGGCTGCCGAGAGGGTGCTGGGCCCAGCGCCGGCCGGGGGCGCTGACCTGACTTTGGTGTTGGGGAGTCGGTGGTCCTTCTTCCATTTCATGCGACGGTTTTGGAACCAGATTTTGATCTGCCTCTCAGAGAGGCACAGCGAGTGGGCGATCTCGATCCTTCTCCTTCGGGTCAGGTAGCGGTTGTAATGAAACTCTTTCTCTAATTCCAGGACTTGCTGCCGGGTGTAGGCTGTCCTCGAGCGCTTGGGCTCCCCTCCGTTATAATTGGGGTTCACTAGGAGGGAGGGGAGGGAAAAGCAAATAGTGGGGTTCAGAGGCAGCAGGCTCCCCCCCACCCTCACCCCATCCTCAGCTTTGAGGAACAGGAGGAGGGAGTGGTGGAAATAAAGTCATCAAGCTAAATGGGTTATAAAGAAGTTGAAGGAAGCTGGAGACTTTGTAGTGTAATAAGAGGGGAATCCTCATTGTAACGACACTGAATTATTTATGCGCCCTTAGAAAGCGAGCATAGTTTTCACACATACATAACAGATCGTAGCACATGGCTCGGACTGCCCAGAGTAGCTAAGCCATAAAATTTATGGGGGATGTAATTACCCATTCTCGCTCGTAAATCCAGTTCAATTGTGCTAACCCAGAGTCGCTCCTGGAGAGAGAGAGGGGGAAGGAGAGAAAGGAGGACGGGGCCGGAGGGGGCCGGGGAGGGTGGAGAGCGCCGGGGAAGAGGGGAGGGAGGGGGAGCAAAAAGCAAAGTTGCCTACCCGTGCTAACGTGAATTTTTTTCATCCAAGGGTAGACTATGGGTTGCTTGCTGGCGGCGCTGGAGGGATGGTCTGGGGCTGGCTGGCTGCAGGCTGGCGGGGCTGGGGACGGGGAGGCAGAGGCGCCTGAGAGAGGCGCCGGCTCGCAGAGCGGCTGCGATTTCTCGGGGTGGTGGTGGCCCGCCTGGGCCGGCCCGTGGCCTCGCGAATTGCCCGGCCCCTGGAGACTGGTGCAGCTATACTGGCGCTCAGGGTAGCTAGGGCGCGGAGGCGGTGGTGGGTACAGCTCCTGGTGATGATGCTGGAATCCCGATTCCCTGGTCCGGCCGTAATATTCCGGACTGTGTTCAGGGATGTAGCTATTTTGCGAATATTCTTCGCATGGAGGAAATTTCGGATCGATGTAGTTAGAGTCCATCAAATACGAGCTCATGATCATTAATTTCTGGAGTGGAAAATAATTTTTCTCGCTTTGTCGTTTTTCTGCTCCATAAAGCCCTCCTACTAGCTAGCGACCCTGTAAAGTTACTTTCACCATGTGACTCCGCCGGCCAATCACACGGAGCAACCCAGTCCCCGGATAAGGAACCGAATCGCTTTATTCAAAATGTATCCAATTTTTTGTGTGTGTGGTGGTGCTGCTGCTGGGGGGAGGTGATGAGGGGATGACTGGCAGGGGCTAAGATGCCCCCCAGTGCACACCCTGCCAGACTGACAGCCCTCCCCTGCAGAAGGAGATGGGAAGCTCCCAGCTTCCCCTCCAAAGCCTGGGCACTGGGGGGCTGTCGGAAGTCTGTTCTTCAGCCCCCGCCCAGGGTCTCCTCTTCGGCCTCCAGTGGGCCTCGAAGGCCTTGGCTTCAGAGCTTTTCCAGCGGTTTCCCTTCATGGCGATCCTGTTTCAGTCTGAATAGGTCACCGGGCAGCGCCCCTCTTTCGCAGGAAGAGGAAGTTGAATGAGGACTGGAGTGGAGGTTGGATGGTGAGGCCCCCCCCCCCGGCTGAGCCGAGGAGGCTGGAGAGCCCCCCCACATCCAAGGATCCCAAAGTCCAGCCCCCTGTCCCCTACACACTCACCCAACCCTCTGGCCATGGGGCAGGAGAGGCAGGGTCCCAGCTGGACTGGGCAGGTAGAGGCAGCAGGATGCAAATGATTCTGACGTCATTTCTGGAGGTCTAGGGGTTGAGCCCCCTCTGAAGAGAGACAGGAAGTGGTTGGCAAAGCAGAGTTTAGGAGTCTTGCCCTCCCCTCTACCCACTGGCCCTTCCAGCCCCAGCCCGGAAGCAGAGAATCTCTTCTACTGCTGGCTCAGGTTTCCATTCTTCCATGCTGCCTGGCCTGTTGATTTCTGACAAGGACCTCCCATATTAGCTCCTAAGGAGTTCTGCAAAGAGGACTGCTCTGCTCTTAGTCAGTGCCTTGTGATGTTGCCTAGCCAAGACCCTGAGAGTTCACCTTTCCCCATTCTCACAGAGGGTGGACCTAGCAGAGAGGAAGGCCTGTCTGGGTACCGCCGGCTAGCTTAAGGCCAGATACTGTATCCATGTAACACGTGTGTTTACATGTAAACACGTACTCCCAAGGGCCAGCTCCAGGCTGCCTTCCAAAAAGGAGGGGTGAGGTCACCCAGCTGGGGAGGCAGAGGAGGCCTTGGGGGTCTCCAGTGTCTTCCTGTCCCTTCCCCCCTTCTGCAAGCCATTCACAGGCAAACCATGATGGGGGTGTCAGGGCCATGGGGGGGCGGTGAGGAAGGGCTGCTTTCCCAGTCCCCCTCCCTGAGCTAGAGGTGGCCACGTCATGCCACCAATTCCAATTAACTGATCTCTCATAACTCAGAGTTGGAGAAGGTAACAGAAGGGAAAGCCCAGGGAGGGAGCCGGGTCCCCTTGTTGTACTTGATAACAATTATAGTTTAAAATCATAGCTTGCCGGGGCTCGGCTATATTTTACTTGATAACAATAAAAGTGACACATAAAGTTAACTGTTTATGTTTTATTTATTAGACTAAATCTGCCAGCGGTGGTAGGAGCGCTTGCCTCATCGCTACAGCTTTTATAGGGCTGTAAAACGTCATAAATCAGTCTCTCTCTCTCGGAATCGCCCGCACTCTTTGTGTCGGCGGCAGTGCAGGGCTGGCGGCCGCTGGCTGCCTGCTCCCTCCTTTCCACGAAAAGTCTTAATGTGATTTTTCCCTCTGATTTTATTATTATGATCGCCGCCGTGATTAGTCAATCTACCTTTAATTCGCCGCCCTACGTTGCCTCCTCCCAGCCCAGCCTGGTTGACACTTGAATAAGTACCTTTTAAAATGGCATAACAACTATTTGAGGGTTTAATTAGAACATCTGCAATTAAGGGAATGAGGAGAGGAAAGGGAAAAAAATAAAGCCCTTGTGAGAGGGAGACTGAAGGCAGGAGATTCCCAACCTTCTCTTACTACCTTTGGGATATAGAAGTGGGTCCTCACTTCCAAATTAGTGCTCACCCTGAGGGCTGGAATATGAGGGAAGCTGGGCCAGGGGTGAGGCCCAAAGAGACCAAGTGCCCACCTGCAACCCTGGCTGCCTTTCCTGCTGCAGTGCTCAGGCTTCTACCCCAGCCTGGGTGCACTAGGGCCACTGCCCAGTCCCACAGGGCCCTGCCCCCCCCTACTCCCCACTGGCTGAGGGAACCTGGGTGCCCTGGGGGTCAACCATCTTGTAGGAGATCCCCAAACTCCCAAAGTTGGTGGAGAACCTTTGCCCACTTGTACCTGGACCTTCTTAGTGTGAGAACTGGCTGTTTTGTAGGAAGAGGAACTTGTGGCTGTGAGTGAGGGGGAGGCAGCTGTTTGGTTGATGGTGGTGGGGAGTCCTCTGAAGGTTTTTTGTAATTGTTGGTGGTAGGGATGGGTTAATTACAAGTTGCTGGGAGAGGGCCGGAGAAAATCACTACTGAATCCTGAACTGAACTCTGAACTGTGGCTCCAGACTGCCCCACGGGGAGGTCCAAATCTCCATGGAACTTTGGTAAAGTGAGGGTAGGGTTGGTAGAGTGGGCAAAACTCTTCCAGCCCCACCCCTGATCTCCCTTCTGGGCCAGGCACCTTGATGTGGCTGTCCCACCCTATCCCAGCCCGAGAATATTCTCTTCCACACCTGGGAAGGTGGGCTATCTACTTGGCTCTCCTCCTAGCCTTTACATCTGCCTTTACCAACGCTGCTCCCTGCCTAAACCCTCTTTTCTTTAATCTTCACCCTCCTGGATTTATTAGGGTGCCTTTCCAAGACATCACCCACCATACCATCCCCCAACCCAGGTTTTTAAGCTCCTGCAGGTAGGTTGAGAACACCTTCTTGGGTTAGTATGAGTGAATAGACACAGAGGCTTCAGGTGCCTCCCACTGAATATCAAGTCTGGCTTTGACTATTAGTGTTAACAAATATATATGCATACATGCTATAAATATTTATTAAAATATTAAATGTTCCTTATATGGCTATAAATATGTGGAGTTCTTATTCCAGGCTAATTCAAAATGAATATCCAGAAAATGACGCCTAGGAGATTCCCCCAAATGTGTCCACACTCATCTACATCATTTACCAAAAAAAAAACAAAAAGAAACCCAAAACAAAAAAACAAAAGCTCTGGGCTCCTATAGCTTAACAGAAAGGAAGATGCCTATCACATGGATAAAATACCTCATCACACATACACATGCAAACATTTACCTGGATATTATTATAAGCATGGAAATAAAATCCTTTCAGAGGGCTCTTGCACTCAGCAATGGCTTACTTGAGATGGGGAGGGGGTACTAAAGCGGCTCTCACGTGTGATGAATCCTTGTATCTGGTCCTGTCTTCTTTTGTGCATTCCCATTCCCCTCCTGCCTTGCCAGCCCAAGGACTTCCACCTCTGCTCTGTCCTTCACCTCGCTCTGCCCAATTTTATTTTATATTTTCTCAGACCACCTTTTCCAGCATCCAAATGCTCTCCGCACACAGCCCCACACCCCATCTCCTTTCTAAATCTCGATCTGGTTTCTCTTTCGGAAACATGTTTCAGTACAAAGCGCTTCCCTTCTGACACCACTGAAGAAAAATATGTGTCCATTGTGTGTGAGGCCTTATTGTGCCCAGATTACCATACTGACCGTTGGATAACCCATATTCCTCCCCTCCCCAGTAACAAGCTGCTGGCTGAGATCTCAGCGGCTCCACAGATTCTGTGCTGCATTAAAATCTCACCTCTCACACTCCCTGGATTTTCTAAGGGAGAAAAATAAATGGGAGAACCAATTCAGGATTTGGAGAGCAAAGAGAAGGAAAATAAGGATTATTCTATTTCCCACTCTCCCAAGTGCAGGGTTTTTTTTTTTTTGTATATGTATGTGTGGATGTTTTGTGTTTTGTTGTTAGTGTTGTTTTAGGGATTAAAATTGCAGCATGTCTCCTTTTTTTCCCTCAAATAAATTGACTTTTGGATGTTATGTAATCAGGCAATTCATTTCATTTTGATTTTTTTCTCCCTCAGGCAACTTGAAAACCCCAAACTAAAACAATATTCTTATACCATTTTTTCTTTTGTGTATGGATGAGTGTGAACATAGATATATGTGTGTTTTTGTCCTTTTCTAATGCCAGCAGGCAGGGCTAATGTATGCAAAAGAATATGCAAATGCTTAATTGATTTTTTCTTAAATCTCTTGTCAGTAAAAGTAATGAATTGGTCTAAAATGATTTTAATAACCCGAACGTGTCACCAGAAAATACTCAACCTTTTTTTTTCCCTCCTGGAATGGCTTATAGTCTCAAAAAAGCAATCATGGAATGTTAATTTGCCCCCTTTAAAATATTAAAGATGAATTTCTCTTGTTTGTTCGGAGATCATAGGCAAGGTCCGCTTGTGGATTTCCCCTGCCTTGCCTTGCCTTCCTTGGAATTCAATTTTCCTCAAATCTTGTTTAAAGTGGCTTTTTAAAAAGTGGCCGCATTTTAATATTGGTTAGACAGAGTGACCTGCATTTCACCTCGGGTGTTTGACTTGTTCCAATAGGTCACTGCCATGGGGTTATTGATGGGGAAACTCCATTGAAATTTGTCTCTTCGCAAATGGCCTTTAGATCTTCCAGCGAGTTCAATAACTAGTTATAATGTGGAAGGGGAAAAATGAAGGCCTTGGGCTAACGAATTTGATGTTTCATTTTTATGCTGGAGAAATTGTTAGTTAGACATTGGGTTCCCCACCCCCTTCTCTGCTCATCCCAGCCTCACTGCCCTAACACTCCCATCCAATGGTGCTGGATTATTATCCCCTCTAAAGCTTGGATTGGGGTGCCTCTTTCTCTCTTTGATACAAGCTTTACTTTTTCTTATGAATACTGTTGTTGCTATTGTTGTTGAAAATTCGGACTCGTGGATGTTGGAGGCTTGCTGTGCTGGAGATTTGAAACCTGAACTTTCTTTTCAGGGGGAAGACTTTTACTTTTAAAGGATCCTTAATGTGGCTTCAAAATATCTAGAAATTAGGCTGGCCTTAATTTACAGAGGGCTCCCTGGCTTGGGCTCTTTGGCTTGGGCTCCCAGAATTGAGGAGAGGAAAGGAGACTACAAACACCTGGGGGTCTATGGGGGTATCTCAAGGTACCCTAATCTGTTCTCGGCCTGTGAGCTGGCAAAGACCCATGGAATTAGGCACCCAGGACCAAGGAAAGCGGAGGATGAGAAAGGCTAAGGGGAGAGGAAAATTCCACGGAGGAGGGAAGGGAATCTTGAGTCCCCTCGAGGGTCAGAGTCAGAATACAGGAGAATTGGTTGGGTAACCACTTGCCAAACTCTGAACTCTGCTCCTTCACAATAACGGTTCTCCTGGAAAGCCCAGTGCCCTAGGGCTGCCTTTTGGTAAACTGCAGGGAACAGAGGAAAATGATAGAGACTAGTGGAGATACTATCCGGTCCCTCTTTTTCTAGGGTGCTCAGGAGCGGGAAAGGAAAGTGCAAAGGAAGGGGGAGGATATTTATTTTATTCTCCCCAGCCACAGCTAAGTTGGGGAGCCCTTGACTTCTCCAGAGAAGTCTCTGGGAAAAGGGACTGCAGAGCGCAGTCTCTGGCGGCTGACCCAGCCATACCAGATCATTACCATTATTAACCTCAGTACTAATAAAAAGACCTTCCCCTCAGGAAACGGAGAGACGTGTGTGCCTTATTTTCTCTTCTTCCAGGCACTGCGCCTTCTCCTTCTCTGCCTACAAGGACCCTGTTTGCTCAGCCCAAAGTTTCCCCTTAAATTAAAGAGCTCACCAGCCTCTCATCCCCTTCTAAGCCTGTCTCACAGGTCAGAATCTTTCCTGCTTGCCTAGAATCCTGGGTTGGAGGGATAAAGACTGAAAGAAATATGTAAATGCCTGAAACTAGGGTGCTCCTTCCCTCCCTCCCTCAGACCCCTCAAACCCAGAAGCAGCATCTCGGTGCCACCTGGGTTTTAGACAAACTTGCCTCGGCACGGTAAATACGTGGCACCACTGGGATCTGGGGAGCAGCCTTCAACTGCGACTTCGCGTCTCAACCCCATAAAAATGGGGAAGCTGGAGAAGCGGCTATTGCTGGCTTCAGAATCCGGCCTGGGAGAGGGCACACAGTCTGCTTTTCCCGGCCAAGCAGGAGTCAATAGCGATCTGTTACAAACTTCTCGGCAGCTTTGCCGCGCGCTCGGCCGGGCCGGGCAGGCGGGCCAGCCAGGTCCCCACGCTGCTCTCCCGCCTCAGCCCGGCCCGCACCTTGGCCGCCTCCTCCGAACAAGGACCCCCAGCCTCGGGCCTCGCCCCTTCCCTGTTTTAATTACGTGATTGATTTTCGCTTGGGCCGCTTCGGGATGCCTCTGCTTCCGACTGTTTAAATCTTTCGGTTCCCTTTTTGTATTTCGAGTCCTCCAGATGCGCTGTGATTCCAAGACGACCCTGGGGCGCGTGGCCTGAGAGCAGTGCGCGGCCTGGGTCGGGGTCCCCGGCCGCCTCGCCCTACTTTCCCACGAAATGGCCTCACCACGGAATCCGATACTCGCCCGGAGTGGCCAGGTCTGCAGCCGCCCCTCGGCGCGGGACTCAAACTGTGGTCCTGCCCATTCGCTTTTCTGAATTATGTTGTGCTCCATTATTCTTTGATAGCATGTTCCCTCCTTGGGTTATCACTTCGTGCCTGGCTTCGGAGCCGGTCTCTCTGCCTTTTTGTGATTTTGTCTTCACCCAAATAAAGTGTGTATTCAAAGGTCTAGATTGAGACCCCAGGAAGCCCAAGGCTCACAGGGCGCTCAGGCCCCGTCCCTAAACACCTGGGCCTCGCGCTGGAGGCCAAAAGCGCCAGGAGAAGCAAATTCGGCCACAACTTTACGTCACTAAGCGCCAGTAGGACCGCAGGGCTGGCGGTCCTGGCCGCAGCCCCTAACCCGCAGGAGGCCGTCGGATCAGATTTTCACTCCACAGCCTCAGACAGAGGCCCCCTCACCCTGGCAGCCCCAGCAGGCACCCAGCACCCGGCAGGAGCCTTGGGGGTGGCTTTGAGCTCTCACAACCAGGAACACGATGTTCAGCCCCCTCCACAGCAGGGACAGGTGAGCCGAAAGAGAAGGTGTTTACTTTATGAGAGAAGTGAATTTAGGGTAGGGGGAGGTAGGGAAGACAAAAATAAAGAATAGGACCCCCTTCTCTCATCGTGGCTAGCCTCTTTTCCTTTCTCTCATCTGGAAGGTGAAACTCTTTTCTTCCCCAAACTGCTGGCTTCATGCTTAATCTCTCATTTATTTGCACCTAATAAATACTCCTCTGCTTATTCTCCCATGTCCTGTTTATTCATTCTTTGATCCTTTCTAAGGAAGTAGCAATGAGTTGCTAGTAACCATATATATTATGTGTGTATATATATATATATATATATATACATATATACACACACCCAATATAATATATATACCCCTCAGGGAGAAGAGGGGGTTGAAAAGTCTTTCTCATTGAGGAAGTTCAGCAAAGCTCCAGTTAGTCACAACCTTCTCCCTGTTCCTTGACCTACAACACCCCAGTTCCTGCCCCTAACCCCTTCCCCCACAGCAATGTTGCTGGTTAAATAAGAGTCCGCCTGCCTTGCTATTAGGATTCTGGAGACGTTGGCATCTGTAGCAATCATTAGTCAAAGCTGCAGAAGCCAAAGGAGCCGAGAGTTGGACAGAAAAAATCTTGGAAATGATATACAGGAGCTGAGGAGGCATCAATCCCAGCCGATAAGAGCGAGGCGCCACGAGGGAGGCGGCCCACTTAATTGGGCTCTGGGCACCAAGAACAACTCGGGAAGTGACACCTACTGGTTGTGCCTTGACCCTGGCATCGTTGGGCCCCACAGAAATAGTTGGGTCTTAAACACCCTTTTCTCCAAATTTCAAAAAAAACCCTGTTAGGTGTGCGTGTGCGTGTGCGTGTGCATGTGTGTGTGTGTGTGTAGACCTACAAGCCTCTCACCCTGCAAGCCAAGAGGAACTGTGAAGTGGACTCTCCCCTTCTCCGCTCCTTATCTTTGGTGGCTGCTTTGGGAAGTACTGCAAGTTGGGGAGTCTGGGCTG